ACTGGTCTAATAGGAAAGCCAGACCTAGCTAAAAACAAGAACTACTCTTAATAACAAAGAAGGAGAAGGAAAACCCCAAACAAAATATACAGGAAGGTGGGAAGAATTCAGGAAAAATACAGGGCGCATACTTTGAAGCCAAGAAAATAAAAAAGGGAGAAAAGATTTCTTGAACTTGAAACCAGTTGAAATAATAAGAAAACTCAATGGAAATGGCTGCAAGATCAGTAACATTAGTAATTAAGGATTCAATCAGGGTCAAATTCAATTCAACCTTTGTGTCAAAGATCATATAATATGCTTATAAGTAATCAGCCCAAGAGCAGATGGGGAAGAGAAATAACAAGAGAGTAAAATAAGTTGGTGCCTGTTGAGATGAAGTCATTTTTCTAACAGTGCTGATTCTAGTCTGAAACCTAAGTAATTTTACGTATTCACATCTCTTGTCCTAGAACCCCTACATACTGTAGAAAAAACAGCTGCAAATATACCTGAGATGAAAAGATTATAAACATGATCTTCAATTCAAATATCCTATTCTCCTGTTAGTCTACATTTGGTTTTTGCAAAATATGCTCAACTAGTCACAGACTAAGAAAAGAAAGGGAATGGACTGTATTTTGTAGCTGTTAACCTAGAGAGACTAAGTATTGTATTGCCCATGGCAACAAATTTCCACAATATGAATTTAAGTGGTACAGTTGTACTAGGACACAGCCAATCCTGATTCAATCAGCTCAACTAAATTTAAAGAATATCCCTATGCGAAATCAGTCATTGCTCCATAGTGTATCTATGTCTTCCATTGCTTAAAATGTCACCTGAATAACCCTAAAAGTATAATCAGAATCTGGCCCTTTATATAGAATTTAAAAATAAAGCTATATTGGTCCCAAGTGTACTGAGTTGTACATTGTTTACCAGGTAAATTTGGGTCCTTCAGATTTGACATATTTTCACATGTATCAAGGCAGGAAGACAGTGCTACTTAAAGCTAGCAGTCATTCAAGATTGCAGCTTTAAGGCTCAATACATGTGCTATCTGAGGTATCTGTTTAATCCTTCAATCCTGACACTTGGAAGATGTGATTTATTGAGTAGATTAAGTACTTCTCTCTTCTCACTGCAATGAATAAAGATGGAGCTAATCTTTGTCCACAGAGCTTTCCCAGTTTAACTAGACAAATCACCGATGTCTCTTTCCCCACCAGATGAAATATGTTTGAGAGGCCTGAGCAAAACAAATATATAAATGCAGGATTTGAAACATGATTGTTCTGTGGTGTTTTGATACTCAACACTCGTTCTTTACAGAATAAACATTAATTCTCTGCTAGGCAACATCTTTCTGTGCAGGCACCTGTCCCAAGAGCCTCATTAAGAGAGCTGATCAACTAGGATTTGGGTTTCTTTGGTCCACCCAGGTCCAAATGCTACATTGTTGATATTTGTTAATGTCTCAATTATCTTTTGTATTTTGGGAATGCTAGGTCTAAAATATATTCTCTCCTCTATTGAATGGGTTTAGAATACACTTACCTTGCTCATCTCTATTTTTAATTTGAAAATGAGAAAATAAAGTTATGTACCATGTAGGGTACTTTTATTCTTATAGATTTCCTTCATTCAAATTACAGCCAATCTTTTATTCCTAACCTAAAGAAACCAAGATATTATTCATAAAGTATAAGGAAAACATGAAAGCAAAAACTAATACAAACTCAATTAAGATGCAAAGGGGAATTCAAGTTGCACATTTAAAATATCTATAGTCACTCAGAGAACTAGAAAGTAAAGAAATGAATGAGAAAATTCAGTAGTTTAAGGGCTGTCTGGGTTAGTTCAGTTGTTAGAGTGTAGTGCTGATAAAACCAAAGTCCAGGGTTCATTCCCTGTACTGGTCAGCTGCCACAAAAAACACCAAACAACATTTAGTAGTTTGAGAAGATGGAGGTCAAGGGACTGCTAAGACAATTGTTGTGAAAAAAAAAAGAAATCTGTTTATATTTTTTTTCCTTTTTGTCTTTTTTCGTGTCCGGCATCGGATCGCAACCCTCAGTGTCGCGCCCGTACCGGACCGGGACCGGCAACGGGATCGCAACCCTCGGTGTTGCGCCCACACCTCGCTCAGCCAGTGAGCGGGAACCGGTCTGTATGTGGGATCTGAACCCTCGGCGGAAGCGTCGCCGTGCTCCCAAGCGGCGTACTGTAGCAGTGCGCCACCGGGCCGGCCCGAAATCTGTTTATATTTAACATAAAAATAGTATTTAAACATTTGTGAGAAAAAAATTTTAATTTAAAAAAGAAAATCTAATTATCATTGATCTAAAAATGAAGAAATGTACTGGCTTCAAAAATATGTAAGGTAGAGAGGAAAACTGATTCAACCTGAAAGAGTTGCAAGATACTGAAGCAGGAAGTTGTTACTCAGACAACTCTTTGGTTGGAGATTGGTAGGAGGCAGTGAAGGAGGGAACGGTGGTTTTAGAAAGTGAACTTTAGGGCCAAGCCCGTGGTGCACTCGGGAGAGTGCGGTGCTGGGAGCGCAGCAGCACTCCCACCGTGGGTTCAGATCCTATATAGGGATGACCGGTGCGCTCACAGCGCTCACTGGCTGAGCGCGCTGTGGCCAGTCTCAAAAAGGACAAAAAAAAAAAAGAAAGTGAACTTTATAGCTACAGTCTTGAAAAGGTAACAAAAATCACAGCGATAACCATTATTCAAAAATACAATTTCATATTAAGGATCAAAAAATATTTTAACTATGTTTCTAATTATGTCACTAAATTTAAATATTAGAGACCATGTTTTTTAAAACAATTATTCAGTTCATGTTTACAAAATGTTTTATTTAATTTGAACATATCTTTGTCAATTTTGCTAAACAAAAATTTTCCAAAAAAAATTTCCTAAATAAAGAAGGATACAGAAACAAAAACTTGGAAACTATACTTTTGAAAGATGGTTGTTATACTTTTGGTTGTTATAGACATATGATTTATAATTTTATAATTGTCAAATAATGAATTATGTCTTGATCTTAAAACTGTAAATATCTGTTTTCAATCTTTTTTTATTGAAGTGTATTGATTATATGTATCTGTGGGGTACAGAGTTGAATAATCAATACATGTATACAATGTGTTTTTACTTAATATTTCATTCTGTAATTCCTAAGTGTCAAAAATATTAAGGAAAGCTACTATAGCAATCCAATTTAAAAAAAAAAAAAAAAAAAACTCCTAAACTAAAGGTGATATTGTTTAGGTCAGCAACTCAGACTTTTTACAATGCTAAAAATTATTGAGGACCCCAAAGAGCTTTTATGTAGGTTTTATCTATTGAATTTACTGTATTACAAGCCAAAACTGAAAACTTTAAAAATATTTGGTAATTCAAAAGCAGTAATAAACCTACTACCTGTTAACATAAACAACATATTTTTATGAAAAATAACTTTTTTTCTGAACAAAAATATTAGTGAGAAAAGTGACTCTGTTTTACATTTTTTTCCAAATCTCTTTAATGTCTGGCTTCCTAAAAAGGAACTCAATACCCGCTTCTGTATTCCATCTGTTACAGTGTGTTTTTTTGGTTCAAGTACATGAAGAAAATCTAGCCTCACACAGATACAGAGTTGGAAAAGGGAATCTTTTAATAGCCTTTTCAGGTAATTGTGGATATTCTCCTTAGATTTTGCATCAAAACTCAGTAAGTGACAATTTCTTAAAAATCAGTTGCAACATGGAATCTGTAAACATATCAATAATCTTTCCATAACATATTACATTAAATCCATTGGTCTATCTTGCACTTCAAATGGATCTTTTACCTACACATCATTTTGTAATTCCATGAATTGGTCATCTGGAAAACATGAGTTGTGCAGGTCTACCAAATACTGATACATTTCATTAAACACTAAAAAATACATTTGTTAATATCAACATCAATGTTATCAGAAAAGCCTGTATATATTGCAAAGCTATTGAGCTTCAGGTGGTGAATGTAAGTTCTCAAAAATTCTAGTTTTCACATAAAGGCTTTAATTTTACTGTTGGCAACGAATACTGTCAGCTGCTCCATTAAAGTGACAGGCCTACTAATTTCATTTTTTTTCAAGAAAATTCTACCAAATACCCAAGTCTAAAAAATTAGATTGTACGTTTTTCTTTCCAGTAAAAATAGTACTACGAGAAAAAGTGTCTAGTTCAGCTCACAATTCAAACAAGTGCACTAGTGCTCTTCTTGAGATAACCATCCTATTTCAATACACTGCAGAAATGCCTCATGAATATTTCACATTTCGTCACTCAGGATATTAAAAAGAAAGACAGGTATTCAAAGGTTGAAATTTAATAAAATTAATGTTTACTGCACTGTAATGGACATTCTTAAGTGAAACTGTCTTTTTTTTTTTTTTTTGGACTGAGCGCATGGTGGAGTGGGGAAGAACTCAATGACTACTAGTATAGTTTGATGCCACCACCTTTACTCATGCTAAGGCACCAGCAGTTTTACCCACCATTGCTTCTGCATCCACAGCACAAATGTCAACAGTGAAAAGGCAAATAAAATGTTGGTATTATATGAAAAAAGTTTTGACATTATGGACCCCTTAAAGAAAGGGTCTTGGAGACCCCCAGGATGCTGCAAGACATCGAGAGCCACTGGCTTAGATAATTCAAGAAATGTAGAAATGTCATAGAACAGGAAACATTTTATTGTGCTTCCTAAAAAGGAAATTCACAGTGAGTAGCTTCATATTTTCCTGCTATTCAAAAAGCAACAGTGAAGACTCAGAACATTCTAAAATAACTACATGCAATAGAAAAAAAAAATGGAAATAAGCCTCTGAAAGATGTTAAATTTGGACAGGTACTTAATCCCAACAAAGAAAAGAAAAAAATTTTTATATAGCAAAGAGCTCAAATATTTTCTATTTGTGTCAAAACTGTTTTGGATGAAATTATACACATTTAATATTATCAATGTCTTACCTTAGCTCTAGAAGAACTGACGTTTTCCATATTTTCAATGCTGCAGATACAATTTTGTGAAACTTTCCGGCAAGCCACTCTGATATAGTCCCAGAAGGTACGAGGACTTTCATAACCAAACCAGGTTACTTGACCTTCAGGAGACAAATTGCAACACAAAAGAAAAGTAAAAGAAAACTAGACTAAAAACTTCAAAATGCAAGAACAATAGAATTCTGAAAAATAAAGAGCAACACTGTGTCCTATAATGGAAAGAGCACTGATCTAGGTGTCAAAAAGCCTTACATCTAGTTTTATTCTACCATTAACTAGCTGTGTTACTTTGGGAAACTTACTCAGTGGTTTGGATCACAGATTTCTCAACAATAAGATCAAACTAAATGAAATAAAAATGGACTACACACTAAAATACCTTGCAATTTAACATCCTGTTATCTAATATAGTCCTTTAGATAGTACACAGAAAACCTTCCCATGGTTCTAGTTAAGCATAAATTTAAATGTCACCAGCTGAATCCTATACCTTTCCCTACTTTGAAAAACAGAGGGAAAAAAACCCAACTCTTTTCCTTCTCTTCATAGGGATAACAATGTGTAGTCTATCCCATAAGTAAATAAAATCAATTAGCATCCTATATTCACTAATCATAATAATCTTCTACCCAACCCTTCTCATCTATAAAGCTCCTTGTCATTCATTTACTCTCTTCTAGTCATTCACCCACGAAAAACTCTTCTGATATTTACCATTCTAATTTGTCAGGCTCAGGAAACTATGTGTCTGTTCCTGACCAAATGTTCTATTGTGTGTATCTTATTTTAGTATTAATATTTCTATGCAGGACTCTGAATATTAGGTCCATGGAAATCATTCTGTACCCTTAGTACTTTTAATGGGCTATGAGAGACATTTTAATACTTCCTTCAGCTATTTGTTTTTTTTCCTTTTTGTCTTTTTTCGTGACCGGCAACGGATCGCAACCCTCAGTGTCGCACCCGTACCGGACCGGGACCGGCAACGGGATCACAACCCTCGTTGTTGCGCCCACACCTCGCTCAGCCAGTGAGCGGCCGGTCTGTACGTGGGATCCGAACCCTGGGCAGGAGCGCCGCCGTACTCTCAAGCGGCGCACTGTAGCAGGGCGCCACCGGGCCAGCCCCTCCTTCAGCTATTTGTTTTTTTTCCTTTTTGTCTTTTTTCGTGACCGGCAACGGATCGCAACCCTCAGTGTCGCACCCGTACCGGACCGGGACCGGCAACGGGATCACAACCCTCGTTGTTGCGCCCACACCTCGCTCAGCCAGTGAGCGGCCGGTCTGTACGTGGGATCCGAACCCTCGGCAGGAGCGCCGCCGTACTCTCAAGCGGCGCACTGTAGCAGTGCGCCACCGGGCCAGCCCCTCCTTCAGCTATTTGGAATGATAACTTGTCTTACCTAAGGAAGTTGTTTAATCTTAATGTAGAAAGATTTGCTTCTCTATTTTTAAATATGTGCTTCTTCATTTTGAATTCATTATTTATTTATCTCAGATCTTCCCTTCTGCAGTAGTAACTTCTCTCCAGCAACATCAAAAAATGTTCTTATCAGCAAGCACCATTTTAGGAAGCAATGTTGGAGATGATATTTGAGTGGTTCCCAACCATGGCAGCACATTAGGATAACTGGACTGCTTTTTAAAAATACTCATGCCTGGCCTGGCCTCCCCCCAAGCTGAATAGCCAAAATCTTTAGGGGAAGGCCCAAGCATTGGTACTTGTAAAAAGATCCCCCTGGTATTTCTAATGATGTTTTTATGGTTAATCAACAAATAGAAATCCTACATATCATGATAGGTGACTCGTATTCATCATCCAGGACATTTTAAAGGTCTCTTCCAGTAAGCCATGAGTGATCCTTATAGTTAGTTCCACTATCGGCACAGCACCACATGCTTATTTATCCTTATAATTATTTCTTTACTCAATTTTCTCATATAATACGTGGCATGATCTCTAAGGCAGGGATTGTGTCTTATTTGTCTTCAGATCAATCTCCAGAACTTAACACAGTGCTTGGCTTGGAGTAGGCATTCAAGAAATATTTGTTAAACAAACAAATCAGTAAATCAGCACAAAACAGATCATCTTAATTGAAATGAATACAAAAACTTGAATTTCTAAAAATCCAGTTAGTATCTTTTTATAGTAACAGTTTTGATGACAATCTGGTATTAAGGTATCTGCATACCAGATTACAAATACCAAATGTTTTGAACAAATATATTTACCTCTGTCTAGAAATAAATAAAAACACAAAAACATGTATAAATCTTTATTTAAATAACTATACAATTCAATGTCTCTTTAAAACTCAAATCTTACTACCTGCAAATAGAAATCTATAGGAATATTTATAGTCGCCTTCTTCCTCTTAATCTCTCTCAATAGCTCACCTTTGCCACCTCTCTTCTTTGAGTTAATAAGGTTCCTGGTACAATACCTCAATATAGTTTGTCTTAAGGGCACTTTTTCATGTCATCAATTTGTTAGCCATGGGGAGGGGGGCCAGAATGTCTGGTGGTTAAGAACATGGGCTTTTCAGTATGGTGGACCTGAATTAGATCACTTTCTACCTATGTGATCTTGAGCAAATGACTTAAGATCACACTAAGACTGAGTTTTTCTATAAATTGAGAATAATGGTAGTACCTACCTGATAGCACTGCTGTGAAGATTAGATGAGACCATGCATGTGCAGCAAGCAGCATAGAGCGTAGTACATATTAAGGACTAAATAAATGTTAATTATTACTATTGCTATTACTGCTGTCATAAAAATAGCTGAGGGAACCAGACTCCCCTCGTACCACAAAAAGTGGGAATGAGATGCAAAGTCTTTTCCTATTACTTGCTTAGAATCTAGAGAAATCTTTAAAATTTACTCCCTAATCAAATGTTTTCTCATATCAACCATTCTAAATTTACTTCCTCAAAATGTTTCTAATATCAGCTAATTTTCTTTACCTTCTATTACTTAGGATTATTCTACAATTTCAAAATGAAAACAGTATAGCTTCCACATTTCCCTCAAAAAATGGAGTACTACACTGGCAGGGATCTTAAAGAAAGAATGTATCACACAAAACAGTATAGCTTCCACATTTCCCTAAAAAAATGGAGTACTACACTGGCAGGGATCTTAAAGAAAGAATGTATCACAAGAATTCTCTGGTGACTTTAAATCGTTCTAAAATGGCAGTATGGGAAACAGAAGTCAGAGAAATAGGCAAAGAAAAAGGCAACATTGTCTCAGCTAGTGACAACCACCCATAGTGAGAACCCAGATAGGTAACCAAGGAGAAAAGTGAAACATAGATTGTCCATGACCAAGAAGAATTTGCCTTGTAAGGAAATATACTAGTAAAGGTCCAGCATTTTTGCATAGGACATGATTTGCTTTTCTACAATGCTATTTTAAAACTTATGAATTTCACATGAGAAAAATAATTTGCAGGAAGTTTTAAAGTAGAGCTGTTGAAAACCAAAGAATATAACAGATCCCTATTTTGGAGGAGAGAAAGCAAAGATACAGAAAAACTAGAAATCTAGGCTTAGGTTAAACAGAGGAGTGGGCACTAAATCCTTGGGATTCCTGCTATACGTAGGCTACACTATCTACAGGACTTTTACCAAAAAGATAGTAAAATTTCTCAGATTACAAATTGAGAAACTAAACAAATAACAGAATGGCATATCATAATGATTTACAGGGCCTTAAATAAACCAGTAGTATCTTCACAACACTTCTATCTACTCAACACACTAGATGTGAGGATGACTTAGCTTGATTCTGCTTTCCTACCTCTTCATGTACATCATTTCCAAAGTAGAGTTCTTAATTCAAGGCACTGAACTTTTCACATTCAAAAGGATCTCCTAAGAGAAGGTGGATTCCCTTGCTAGAACCTCCAAACAAGCTCTCATGTAAATTGTCTGTATATCCTAGAATTTTAATTCAATGATTAAATAATTTCTGATCTATAAAAATGGTTGAATTTAATTAAATAGAAATGCTCGATTGGTTGTACTTGAGTATCAGTCTTAGTTAAACACATATTAACTGCTAGTAAAGGTCTGTAACCAGTATTCAACAGGAAGATCAAAACAATAAAGCTACAAGCTAATCATGCCTTTAAAAATAAATACTGAATAAATAAATAACCCCTCTCAAGATATTTTCATTTCCTTTAAAAACAACCACAAAAGCAAATCAAATAGTATGAAACCGGGTAGGACAATTAGTTCAATTGGTTAGAGTATAGCCTTATGACATCAAGGTCACAGGTGCAGATCCCCACACCAGCCAGCTGTCCACCCCCGCCCCCCCAAATCAAACTTACCTAAAAAAAAAAAACCCAAATAGTAAAAAACTGACTAGTCTAGCAAGAAACTGACTAGTCTATATCTTGGAGAAATTTCACTCCACAGAAGAGATATGCAGTCACTAACAGAACTCTCTTTTTAAAGTTCTTGATGAGTATAGGTGTATACTACGCTTTTGATTAGAAGTGTTCTTATAGGGGCCGGCCCGGTGGCACACTGCTTGCTACAGTGCGCCGCTTGGGAGTGCGGCGACGCTCCCGCCGAGGGGTTCGGATCCCACATACAGACCGGTTCCCGCTCACTGGCTGAGCGAGGTGCGGGCGCAACACCGAGGGTTGCAGTCCCATTGCCGGTCCCGGTCTGGTACGACCGGTACGGGCGCGACACTGAGGGTTGCGATCCGTTGCCGGTCACGAAAAAAGACAAAAAGGAAAAAAAAAAAAAAAAAGAAGAAGTGTTCTTATAAGTTGACTTTTTACCAAGGATGAAATTAAATAAACTTTTCAAAACTCATTTCCATTGTATAAATCCAACTCTAATTCATTTTAGGCACAGAAACAAGTGGTGAAAAGTTTGCTAGACTAAAAGACAATCTGCTACTAACCAGCTATGTGATGTCTTTCCCACTAAATGGCCTCATTTTCAGCACCTAAAAATGACCTGTGATCTCTGGAGTCCAATGTTATTCTAAAATTACTCTCTATATTCTTTAAGTGAGACATCAATTTCCATTTTGCAATATGTCTGTGTTTGCTTATATCTTATTTTATGACCAGAATGAGACCTTCTAAGAACAGCAACAAAATTTTCTAAAGTGGTTCTCTACTAAGCTGTGGCTAATGACACATTATCTTTTAATAATATAGTATAAAATACAAATGAATCTGTTAACCAACTTTCTTTCTTCACCCTTTGCAATAGCACTTAACTATGTAAATAGTAAATGAAAAACTTGTCTCACAAACTGAAGTTTTGTTAGTGTTACATCACCTACCTGTCAATATCAGACTATTACCTTGGTGCTGCTATTAATCTAGACAAGCAACAAAAGACAAGATAGTCCCATCAAATTTTAATATCACTCTGATATCACTGTAAAAGTTTTCAGATACTTTAAGGAAACTAGTTACTTGTGAATTTATTTTGCCACCATATTAACATGTAGATATTTAACTTTTCACTTTAAATTTTGTAGCAGCGATCCTAAATTTCTTACTGCTAATTTACAAAATCCAGTTTAATATTTTCCACTATCTTTTTACTAAACAAAGGAAAGTCCCATTTCTTTTTTTTTCCTTTTTGTCTTTTTTCGTGACCGGTAACGGGATCGCAACCCTTGGTGTCGCGTCCGTACCGCGACCGGCAACGGGATCGCAACTCTCGGTGTTGCGCCCACACTGCGCTCAACCAGTGAGCGGACCGGTCTCTATATGGGATCCGAACCCTTGGCGGGAGCACCGCAGCACTCCCAAGTGCTGCACTCTACCGAGTGCGCCACCGGGCCAGCCCAGAAAGTCCCATTTCTGCTAGAAGTCAGAATCTTTTCCTTTCAAGAATGCACTATTAGTTGAGGTTTCTATTTATTAGACCATCCAACTTTAAAGGGAAAATAATGATATTGATTAGTTTTCTAACTAAAATTTCATATTAATGCTCTAAAAAAAGAACAAATTTAAACACTTAAAAGTAATTTCAGTTAAACTTTAAGTTGAATCTGAAGAAATCGGAATCTAGATTAGATACTCAGTTGTACTTACACTGTTATCTCTGTATGTTACTTACAGGATGCCTCAAGTAAATCATTAGCCACTATAAATGACAGTTGATCATCCATAAAATGTAATTATTATCCTTTATTACTGACAATTTAACATCTAGTTCACTGGTAAGGAATTTGTCACAAATACAAATATCTTCTAAAGCACATATTTATACCATGTATTTAAATTAGTCAATTCTTAATCTTCCAAAACAAAAAGATTATGATACCTAGGTTCGCCAAAAATTTAAACATTGAATTGACTTAAAAGGCTCTTTTATCTCAGTAATTGTACCATTTCTCCAAGCAGAATACAAAGATTGTGTTTCTTTCTTCCACCAGCATTATTAACATAAAGTTCAAAATACTAGCGTATTGAGTCAGAATACTGAAGGCTGAAGTCCATACAGAAAGCTACAAATAAATGTGTAGCCCTGAATAAATCAAATGTAATTTATTTCAGTAGCAATTAAGGCTATATATAAGAACATGAAACAAAAACCTGTTTTAAATAATTACTTGTAGGAATTAGGATTAAGGAAACAGAAGACATTCGTTTTCTATTTCTTATCCTTTGTCACACTGTAATCTTTAAAAATAATGACTATATTTCTTTTTCAATTAAAAAATAAAAAGCTAGATCATGAGTGCAGAGACCCAGCACTGTATTGCACATAGCAGAAAACTCAATAAAAAAAGTTTTGAATAAATAAACAAAGGTATGCATCCCATCTGGGAGAAAGGAAACTAAGGAATATATCCACTAATGATTCAAGAATGGCAAAGCAGTTACTGCTGATACTGCCCTTCCACGTTTTTCTAAGTTATTGGAAAATTCGCACAGCTTCCCTGAGCCCCCAGTTTGTATGTAATACAAATATTATTATGCATCATTTACAAAACTGAGGAAATAACAAGTAAATCTTATATAATTAAGTTATAATAAAATATAAATAACACTGATATGCATGATTAACAAAACAGCAAGTATAGCCATGGAACTTAATAGTCACATGGGAAAGGAAGAAGAAAAACTGGATTATTTTATTGTGTGGGTTTATAATAAGATTTTAATATAAAAAGTTAGCATAAGGATACTTGTGTCCTCTGGATTAAAAAACAAAACAAAACAAAAAAGTGGAAAGCTTTGAAAAACCCATGCAATGTACTAAAAAAGATCACTTAACTGATACAGCCCTCCCCAGTAAGTCAATTCCATGTTCCCGCGCAGCTCAGTGGCGGGAGACATCACCAGCATTGAGTACCTTGAAGAGGTATTTGGAGATGAGCCAGCCATCTGCAACTTTGGGGAATCTCTTAAAAAAAATAAACAACAACAACAACACACAGATATTTAAGAAACCTGCCATCAAAATTACAATTCCAAACTGAATAGCCCAATTAAGCACTACTTTTACCAAAATAAGTAAAATGAGCTCAATTAAGATGCACATGAGCTACACTCAGCAAGTAAATCAAGCTGGTCTCTTACAGACTGTTCTATTGGGGGTGTCTAGGGTGTCTGTAAGTTGTAGAAATAAATAAGCAGCATTTGTTCCCTGTTTACTTTCATCTCCATCATTCTCTCCCAAATGTAATAAACTCGTGATGAGTAGACCTCAAAATGAGCAACAGAATGACTGAATCTGCTAGCTTTGCACCTCAGAATTTGTAAGATTGGTTAGAAAAAGTTACTCTTGAACTACATGACTCAAGAAATTTTCAACTTTAAAAATAAATATACATTTTTTACTGTTAACTTTCCTAAAAGTTATAAACAAATACATTTTGAAAGAGAAGTTCTCTTTTTTTGCCTAAGAAGTGTTTTGAGTTTATATGGTTTTTTTCCCCTGAATTACAAGGACAGCACTTAGGTATCAAGTAAAATATCCATCAAGTAACCAACGTTGACTAAGTGCCTAATGCATGGAAAATACTGGTTTTTTCGCTACAACTTCCAATTACTGTTTAACCACCGCCATACGGAAAAGTACTATAAATGCTTGCTATGTTGTTTGGAATTTGTCAGCATAATTACATGGGAAAACTTCAAAACCAAATTTCTGAAATCACATTCCCACCGAATGATATTCCCTTCTCTAATAAACAAACACTGAAATCTCTAATAGGACATGGTTCCACATCTTTCCAAATACTTAGATCCTTATAAAACCAAATACAAAACAAACACAATCAGTAACATGGTGGGAAAAATTAAAGGAAGGAGATATATACAAATGTGCCACAGCTATGTCTCTACCATTCACTCTCTATCCTTCTACCTCCATTTGTAATATTTTTAACAAATACTGAATTTGGAAACACATATCCAAATATGATCTATAAATTGGTATCCTCTTTGAAGCCCATATCACAACATAATATTCTTGCTACAACTACAACAAACAAAAATGAAAATTTCTCAATATTGAAATGTAAATCAGAATAGAACGCTTTTCATTGCAAATAAGGAAAATATCAATTATTAATGTTTAAACCACATTTACTATCTCTGTCCCGAAAAGAAGTTCTCTATATAACTTGTGATTTACAGATCCAAAAACTTACCAAAATAAAAATAATTTTTATGAAAATATTACTTAAATAAATTTTAATTCAAAAAATGTATCAAAGAGTTACGTCATGACCAGATTTATGTCCTAGCTTAATCAATCCCTTGGATAAAGTGGGAAACCATGACTGAATCTAGTATATCAATTTATAGATTACAGTTTTTTGAAAAAAGGTGTTAGTGTGCTTGCCTTTATGCCATGGTTTTATGTATTACTTTCATCTTGGCTGTGAACAACCATGGGAAAGTAAAAAAATAAAAAAATAAAAAATAATGACAACACATTTTTACTTATTTGTAGGATTTAATTGCTTTAATCTTATTTTAATATCTCATTCTAGACCAGTTAAAAGCAACCGAAGTATCTAGACCAAACAATCTACTAGATTCCAAATTATCTGTAGTCAAATTTCTGCAATTCTTATTTTATAGATAGGAAAATAGAGGCCCAGAGAGAGAGAGAGCCTGCCTCATGCTGATCTACTCCTTATCTATAGGCAGGACCTGACAGATGAAGATTAGTTAGTAGGTTTTCCTGGTTGGTTATGAATTCTTACTGACAGCCTCAGAAATAAGAAAAAAAAAAAAAAAAAGACAGTGAAATGTAGTGTGTCTGGGTAAATATTTTTCATATAAAATTTAGAAACTTAGCATAGTTGCTGCCCTTTCCCCAAATAATAAGTGAATAAAGCTCACATTATGTGAAAGTGGCCCAAGGCTTGCTTGTTTGTAGAAAGGGTTCGCATTTGCAATTGAAATATACCTTTTATTATAAAATATATGTTAAAAGAAAGTAAAACAGTATTTTATCATTAAGTACCTTAAAAACAGTTAAGACAAGACCAAACAAACCAGTTTCAGAAAGTGTTCTGTTCAAGAATAAAATTCATTCAGATGCACCAATATAATCATACCGTATATAGTTATATTAGGTGTTATTTAGTTTCTAAAATTTTAGCCAAAAGAAGGATCCACTCAGGGACGAATATGCAATAGAAGAATACTTAATCATCCTGAAGATACAGCATTTCCTGACCCCTAAAATATGTAGTTTTAAAAAACAAATAATTGAAAATAAATGCAACTTAATAATCTTTTTATTAATGTCAAAATTAGCTCTCATACAGAAAAGATTACTGACTACTGCTTTACACAAAGGAATCTGCTTTGGTAACAAGATTGAATATGACTCTAATTTATGAATATGATATTTATTCTTCCATATTTTTCATGTTAGTCCTGTTCCAACTTTCACTTTCTGATCATTTTCATTTCTTTGATGATTGAACTACATTATCATGATCGATATAATAGGTAAGTGTTAACAATTATGCAGAAACTGAACTTTTTTGCTTTTGCTATATTTATTCTAATCTTTTCTCTCTTTCTTTGTATGTGATATATACTTTTCTAATAAAGTTGCAGGCAGATGTTTTATTTTTAAATGTGCCAAGATGGATTACTGAAAAAACCCCTAGATGAACTGATCTGTAAAATCGATTGTCATTTGTAAGGCAAATAATAAAATAAATTATAAGTTATCAGATAGTAATTCAGACTTTTCACAAGTTTTTAAATTGGCAATAACAGAACATACTTTATTCTGTTACTAATAATATTAATGCAAGTTCTTGTCTAAAATTTGAAACTTCAACCTTGTATATGTGAGAAAAATTATTTAGTGAAGCAACATTTACAACTGTAATATGTACTTTTTGCAATTCAGCTAACAATGAAACATCTTTTCTATGTGGCCAATTTTCATCTTTTAACAGGCTCTGAAATTAAAATGTAGTATTATATGTAACTTTTCTTAGTTTTTTAAAAGATTGCTTTAAAATGACATTTATAAGTAGATGATAGGTATGTTAGAAACAAAAGTATTTGTTCATTGATTCAACAATTTAAAAACCTCTGAGTGCCTAAATCATGCAAATCTTTTGAAGTTTAAAAGTCATAATAACTTGAAAGAAATATAGGAAGAATTTTAATAAAATAAAAATATCAGATCACATAAGCAATGGCAATTGGCTAAATAAATAGTGATGACTATTAACAGATAGATATTTAATTAATACTTTCCATAAAAGTGAAGTATTTGAATTTATGTATAATAAGCGTGATAAAAGAGCAATTTTAAATTATACCAAATATATCTGAACTATGGGGTCATCTCAGTTTCTTATAAAACAATCAGAAAACTATAAGAGCTATTTAAAAGTTTAAAGTGTAAATACAGTATACATGCAAATACACATAAATATCAGGTATTCAAAATTCTAACATACTCCAATCAACTCTTAATCATGGTATATGATGGTACTTCAAAAAGTTCATGGAAAAATAGAATTAAAAGACAACATGAATCTTTTTCATGAACTTTCTGAAAACCCTTTGTATATTAGAAAGAGCAAATTCTACATTAGAATTGGAATTTAGCATTAGACCTCTAGTAAAGTACCTTGCAATGATTTTGTTTTTCTTAAGGAAAACGGGACAATGCCACAGATTTACGGGGGTATTTCAAAAAGTTTATGGACAAATGGAATTGAAAGATGATATGAATCTTTCTGTGAACTTTTTGAAGACCCCCTCATAAATGATTTTGAGGAAAGCAACTCATTGACATTAGAAAATCAAAAAGATGCAGTAGCTGGGATTATGAAATCCTCCAAAAATGAACAAAGTCCACTAAGTGCAATCCTTTTTCTGTTCTATAAAATGAGAAATATTTACTTCTTTTAAATGGGCACTATTAGAGCAATAAAGTTAGCCAAACTGTCTTGAATTTATGTAACAACAAAATTAACAAGAAAGCAACTTTCCATGATTCAAAATAAAGCATGTCTTGATAAGTACAAGTAAATTGCTCTATGCTAATTTACAAAAATCACAAGGTCAAACTGGAAATGTCCCATTATTTTCCTGGCAGAAACTCAAAGCACTACAAACAGGTTAGTAAACACAAACCTAAACTACCATCAGAGACCATCAATTATTGTTAAAACCAAGAAATTGGATTACGTGGTAGAATCAAAAACTTCTTTAGCTTTCTCTCATATATTAAAAAGAGACATTCAAGAATATCTTAGATAATTTTATCAATGGTAGAATTTATTCAAGTCTTTTCATAATATTTTCTTCTATGTGATACTCCCTCTCAGAAGCCAAATCTAAACTTTGAATCATTTGATTTGAAGGGATTTTGAAAATTATGTTCACGTAAAATAAACCTGGAAAATTCCCCAAGGTAACAAAGTTTAAAACCCTTAATAAATCTTTCGTTCTGTAAATAAGTAAATATTTTACATTGGGGAATTAAAAGGACCTCTTGAAAATTCTGGTTTATTTGTAAAATATAAAGACCATTTGTCCATATCTTCTAATAAATATATACTTGAGTTATTTTTCTTGCTTTTCATGCAGAAATGCTCATAGCAAACATAGTAAGAGTACTATGACAATCACATGACTCAAACAGAAGCAACTGATCAAATATGCAAGGATTCTCTGCTTTAGAATTTTAGACATTCAAAATTAGAAAACATTATAAAACTAAGAAAAAATTTTCAGATTTTTCAAAACAGAAATCATAAACTCTTGAATGAAAAATCAGTATAAAATAAAAAAATAAACCACCAACAGTATTCATGTAAAGAGACTAATATCAAGGGAGAAAAAAAGGTCACTATTGACCAAAACAGGTTATATAAAAACTAGTTACATGTGATGTGAATAATTTGT